ATTTCAAGAATAATAAAATTAAGGGACAAAAAACACTCTTTTTACACAGAAATTCGATTTTGACACTGTATTATTTTTTGTGTCAATTTTGACACTTTGTTTTCCAATTTATTACAATTCTGACCACTTGACCAGTTAACCAGGTTATATGCTGATGTGGCATGATGACATGTCAGTTTTGATGACGTGGCATCCTGACATTATATGTCGACGTGTCAAAATTGAATTTTTTTCCTCACAACAAACACTAAGTTTTCATTTTTTTTTCGATTTTGACACTAAGTTTAATTTTTCTTTCAACTTTTACACTATGGTTTTTTGTTCCAAATCGAACATCATTTTTTCCAATTTCGTTCAATGTTAACATTTTTCTATTTGAAACCGTATAAATATTTTTTTAATACATTTAAAGCGTATAAATATGTTTTTTTTTCATTTAAAAACCATAGTTTTGTATAAATATATTTTTTTACACTCAAACCATATTTTTATATATAAATATGTATTAGTTATATAAAAATTGTATTTTATATTAAATATGCAACTTTAAAATGTGTTTGGAGGTTTTGAAGCGTGTAGTCGATCAAAACTCAGATATCAAGTTTGCAACCTATCAAATTTTTACATCTTATTAGAAGCTTATGGTTAGTATGATTCTCATGATATAACTAATTCTTTGAATGTAATACAAAAACACTTTGTATATAAATAAAAATGTGGTTTTTAAACGAAAAAAAAATATGTTTATACGGTTTAAAATGTAATAAAAAAATATATATTTATACGGTTTCAAATGGAAAGTAGAAAAAATTGAACAAAATTTGATAAATGATGTTCGATTCGAACAAAAAAACATAGTGTCAAAATTGAAATAAAAAATAAAACTTAGTGTTAAAATCGAAAAAAATGAAAACGTAGTGTTTTTTGTGGAAAAAAATCAATTTTGACACGTCAGCATATCATGTCAGCATGCCACATCATCAAAAAACTGACATGTCATCATGCCACGTCAGCATGTAACTTGGTTAACCGGTCAAGTAGTTATAATTGTAACAAATTGGAAAACACAGTGTCAAAATTGACACAAAAAATAACACGGTGTCAAAATCGAATTTTTGTATAAAAATAGTGTTTTTTGTGCCATTTACCCTAAAATTAACCATATAAAAATTGAAATTTTGATAACAACTCTGAAAGTGGTTTACTATAATCATTACCACTTTAAAAATAAGTTTTATAAGTCCAAAACAGCTTAAGATAATGATTCTAGACCAATTCCAGCACCAAAACTTGAAGATATGCTATCTGGGGGTCCAACTCGTCGAGTGCACGAACCAACTCGGCGAATTGGATGCATTTTGCCTTGGACTCGTCGAGTCCCTTCATGGACTCGGCGAGTCTACTGAGCAGACAACACAAAAATTCGATTTTCAGCAATTTAAGCAAGTATAACAAGAAAACAAGCCTAGGATCTGATACCAATGTTAGGTTTTGAGCATTCTAACACTCCTATGGTGTACATGCAACCCTATAAACTTTGGATCTATGTTTTCTCTATTATGCATGTAAATAGTAAATATTCTAAGGTTTTATCCTAACTAGCATATTATGAAGCACCTATACTACAAAGTTCTAGTTATATGACATACCTTTTGATGTAGCTTAATGTCTTCATGCTTTAAGAGCTTAGCCATAATAGTGTGGAAGCCTCAAGTGGAATCACAAATCACCAAAACACCTTGGAAGAACTTGAGAGAATATGTATACTTGGCTCACACTTATGAAATCGGTTATTGCGCTCTTTAGTGTATCCACACTAGCCACTAGCACAATTTCATGAACCATAAGACCCTTTATATAGTGTGGAGGATTAGGGTTAAACCCTAATACCCATGACCTTTCATTTCCTAGGATCCATGGGTTAAAGCTCCATGGATTATCCATGATAGCTTAGCCCAACCTAAATGAACTTGGCCCATTCCATATATATATATATATATATATATATATATATATATATATATATATATATATATATATATATATATATATATATATATATATATATATATAGAGAGAGAGAGAGAGAAGAGTCCATATTTAATTATTTCCTTTTGATCACTTAATTAATTCTATATTAATTCTTGGTCAATACTAATTAAATAATATGATTCCATATTAATATATTAGAACTTATAATATATTAATATAAATCATAAATATACTATTCTTAAAAGACTAACCATATAAATTGTGTCCGTGAAGTGCAACCCAAATGGACCATGCCGAGTCGGTTCAAGTACATACCAAATATAGTTATGAACTTAGACATTAATCCAACACAAATAACCGATACCCTAAGTCCACATCCAAACAAGGAAAAACAAATAAAGTGAGTTAGCAGTCTTAAGTCCTTTAAACATTATTTATATAACTATACATATATAAACATGTTTTTGACAATATATAAGTTTAAAAGAGGTTTTTTAATACATTTAAAGAGTTTTGAACAATAAATAATAATGACTTGATGTTAGTTTATAAAATGATTTAAAAGTAGTTTATTTGATAACACAATTTAAAGTCAATGAAATCCTTTGTTTGAAACACAGTTTGAAGTATATGAAATCCTTTGTTTGAAACACTGTTATAAATCACATGTGATTGATTATATAACTAACATGTTTTATACTTGTATTCACCCCCCCCCCCCCAATAAAAAGCATTTAAAATCATTTAAAAGATAAGTTAAGGGGTATGAACTCACTTGTAGTGAGTGATACGGAGGTATGTTTTGAAAAAGAATGTAGAATGTCAGGTGAAACCTTGAGCACACAAAGATCCTAATAAACATATAATGACATGTTTGTGTACTTGATTAGTATATAAACAACTAATTATAAGGGATAACACCCTAATAGACTAGGAAACTCTAAGATTTATGGGATACAATCACATATGATTGCATAACTAGGGTATTTGGCCACCCTATAGAGTTTACGGTCAAAGAGGTATGTCTATTGGAGTTCACGGTCCAAGTTTTCATGGTCCTTGGAGTTTATGGTCCAAGTGCTCACAGTCTAATGACCTTATGGTCATGGAGTTCACGGTCTAAGGAGATTCAACCGCAAACTCATCAAATCTTTCACAAATGAATGTTTTCAAGGGCTTCATTTAAAGGCATCGAATTCTAGGGACCAAGCTTAGCCTTAGGAGGGGTTTAAGGTCTCTAATGAATCTTTCATTAGGTTTTATGGTCTAAGGAGATACACTTAGACCATAAACACCTTTGTTCTTGGATAAATGATGATTTCAAGTCCATAAACAAGAATCCTAACTAGATACAAGTATAGAAGATAGATACTTACAATTTGGAAGCAAAGAAGGGCGTTTTCGGTCCAAAACACAACCGTGTTCGTGAGAAACTATGATGATCTAGATAAAATATGAAATCATTGGATGAATTAAAGTGAAACATGGATTTAGGAAGGATCTAACACACAAGGAAGGAATCACTTACTTGTTTGAAGATTTGGAAGCAAAAATCTCATGATACTTGAGAGAGTTTTCGAGATTTTTGGCTTGTAAAGGAAAGAAATGATCAAAATAATCATTAACTACACATATAGAGGGATTTTACGGTCACCATGACTGTAAGCTCTAAGTTTCCTGACCGTAAACTCCTTTTGAGGAGGTTTACGGTTTGCTAGATGGTTTGAAACTAAAACTGACACTTCCAAATACTGATTCCTTTGATGTACTTGTCTCAGAATACCCAGAATAGACCCTAAAAAGTGCTAAAAGATAGCAACACGAGTCTAACTTTGATAGATTTGAACGTTTATAAAAGATAGAAATTTCGGGTTGTCACAGCTATGGAGATTCAGTCTCTCATCCATCAATACCTAATATACATTGTATTTTTGCTATAGATTAATATAAATAAAAAGTATATAGGATTGAATAATAATAAAATAGTGTTAATAATTTTTTAGTAAATATTGAAACTGTGAGGGTGTTTGGGGTTCCTTTTTAAACAACTTTTAGACTTTTAACTTCCAAAAAAAGTCAAAAAGTGCCAAAAGTTGTCTGGTAAATGGAAAAGGTCTTCTCAAACAAATTTTAGATAAGGAATAAAAAGTTTGTTGGGCAAAAGATACGTTTTTGTGTATTTTCACGACTTTTGGACCTCGAAAAAGTAGATTACATTAATACCCTTACAACTAACCTAATCAATTCAAACCCACCTACACTATACATCTCGTTTTTTCTCCCATCCACATATATGTTCCTTCTCGTTCCGATCGGCACCACTCCTATTTCCCGTCGACGATCCTCCTCAGTCAACGACTGTTGTCGACATCACCTACCCACTTCTAGATTCAGGTAAGCTTCTGGTCTAATTTGCTTTGTTTTTTCCAAAGTTTTTCTGGTCCGATTTGCTTCTCCCCATCTGTTCCACCTTACTGGTACATATGCACCTCCTTCTTTCGATTTTCTTATGTAATGCACCCCCATATGTTACTTGGTTGTGTATAGAAATCCATATGTGAATGTGTCGTGTGCTGTGTTAACAGGTGCGGGAGAAATTGATAGTTGTTTTCAATTTTCTGTTTTGATGAACTAGAATTCGTGAAAGATTCGTGAAATTAGTTACAAATGTTAATAGATTTGATGAAATTAGTAAACTTGTATATAACAGTTACATTTTTTTTTATGATTTGCAACTTCTTATTTCTGTGAAATTGATGAAACAGTTACATGTTAGGTTGATAGTTATGTTGTTTAAATGTTAATACTATGTAATTCACAAATAATGGACGAAAACCACACTAAAGTTGTTGATTGTGAAACATCTTTAAAAATGAAAAACCCCAAATTTGTATGGGATAATGGTAGCTTAATGGTGTTTGTCGATTCGTTCTTGATTGCAGTAAAAAAAAGGTCATAGACCCGGTACTCACTTTGATAAGATTGGGTGGCAGAATTGACAAAAACACATGAAGGATAAAACAGGTTACAACCTTGAAAAAAAACAACTAACAAACAAATGGGAGAACATGAAAAAAGAGTGGAAGCTTTATGACTGCTTAATGAGGCTTGAAACCGGACTAGGTGGGACGAGAAGCCTAATAGATGCATCGCCTGAGTGGTGGGATGAGAAAATAAAGGTATGATTTACCATTCTTTTTAATTATTGTAAGTTATGATTGCATATAGATTGAGAATTTTTTATTTATATTACCTCTTTATCTTGCATTAGAATAAAGAATATGCTAAATTTAGGAACACATATTTGAGCATATTTGATGAGAAATATGCTCTTTTGTTTCGGGATATCGTTGCCATTGGAGATCAGATTATGGTTCCGTTACAATTTCAAAACAATAGCAATCCGAATGAAGAAAATATGGAGGGCAAATGAGATAGTGATGTAACGCCCGTGTTTTTGGGCATGCCATTTTTAGCAATGTAATAGTCTAGGTTAACCTTTGTAACCCATTTGAACTAATAAGAATGTATTATTTGCAAATTATGTGTTTTATACTTATCTGCTTAATTATGTGATTTGATTTAATCAAGAATAAAAATAAGCGTAAAAATGAAATGTTATATAAGCCCGATATTGATGTACAGAGAATTGGTTGAGACGACGTTTCCGAAAATATAAAGAATGCTAAAATCCTAGTTATAACGAAGAAGTTATGACCTGTCGAAGTTTTGCGACAAAACCGGTGTGGCACAGCGTGACGTAAATAGTGAATTTTTATGGAGTGATATTTAGTCTTAATGATCAACACGAAAGACATAGATAATGTTGAACCGAGAGCATGCATAAAAAGAATGCCTAAATCTGACTTCGTATGAGGAAGTTATGATTTTTCGAAGTTTCAGCTTAACAATAGACAACCCAAAATTTCGAATTGAGATCGAGCGAGTTTTAGCCGGAACTTTCTAAACGATAATCTAATATCTCGTCAATGGTAGTGCAACGAAAGAAAGAGTGACGAAAACGGACGTCAGACGAAGAAGTTATGAATTTCTAACGAAGTTTTTCTATCCCGGCATACTAGAAATAAATAATAAAAATAAATTCAAAATTAGCCAACGGAGTCTAAATGAAAGTTGTAGAATATGGTCTGAACTACGTGTGGATATAAAGAACATCGAAAACAAAGCTTGTATGAGGAAGTTACGCAATTTAAAAGTTTGACGAGTCAAATTACGCCGAATGTAATTTGAGTACGCCCAGCGTACTCGGATGAGTGCAACTTGCCTGACCAATACTCGAGTGCCACTAAATGACTCATGCAGTGACGTTGAGAATGCCCAGCATAAGGCTTGGTACGCCCAGGGTACTGCGTACACCCAGCGTACTTGGAGTTACGCCAAAGTAATCCCAGACCCAGCACCCTATAAATAGAAACCGAGATCAACCATTTTCCTTGCCATTTTTCTTTCTTACTCTCTAGTTTTCGCCTTGGTTTCTGTGCCTATTATATCCTGAAGCCCCGATATCATTCCTGAGTCCCGAAGTCCTGAAGATCCCGAGAAGTAAGATTCCCGAACCGAAACTCTACCCACAAGGACCCCGGTTTGTGTGAAGATCTTCCAGATCCACCAAAGAATACTACTTCTACAAACCGTAGTGTTGTCTGATCATCTTCTGATCAAGTGAGTGTGTAGTTACTTTCTTCTAACGCATAATTCTAAAGTATTTTATATAAAATACGCGTTATGTGTATATTTTTTGTTATATGTGTGAACATATATTCACCTTCTTCTATCTTATAGATATGACTTGTTTACTATGAAATACGTGTTATGTGTATGTGTCTCATATGTTGTTTGGAATATGTATTGAATGAGAATGCTATACAGGTTTTGTTTACAAGTCTGTATATGTATATATTTGTTGAATGACTTGTAATGTTATCGTTTATGCTTTATGGACTGTATCGGAACATGACATCCCGATTTTTGATTATGAAATGAAATTATATTTCTTTATGAAATGTTTTGATAAAAATCTATTTTATCATATTTTGTTTTTGGGAACAAATTTTGCATCTCTTTTAAAATCAAAAGGATTTACTCGGAAAATGTTTAAAAAGCATAAATGAAGCCGGTCTTTTCTGTAAATGAAGCCGGTCTTTTCTGGCCGAGATTTTAGGGATGTCACAGTTGGTATCAGAGCATTAGTTTAAGCGAAGTAGGAATTTTTAGGATTTATATACTTAAACTTAGAATGCTAAGTGGAAATTTGAGTTGAGTGTCTATTGAATTTTAGACACCAACACTAGTATATTTTAGGAAGCTGCGTAAAATGCTTTTATGTGCTATATGTTATATGTTGGCATATATGATATTATTTGTTCGGATCTACGGTTTGTTTCCAACCGGATCTGGAAACCTTATGTATGTAGGATTCTAAGCGTACGATTACAATATTAGAACTAACATGTAAACGTATCGGAGTGATAAGGATGATTTGAATATCTATCGTGAAGTAGGATCTAATTTCACCTTATTCAGTGTATAGATAAAAATGGTGAGAACAAGAAGTGGTGTTGGAAACGCAGATGAAAACAGGAATCAACCACCAGCGAATGAGCGAGTACCTATAGTAACAGCAGCACCTGAGCCAATAACAATGGTTGGGGTACAATTGATGATTCAAACTATGTTGAATCGCCAAATGGAAGAAACAAGGCGTCTGCTTCAACAAAATCGTGAAGAACTGTCAATTCACGTGGAAGAGCCCGAAGTAAATGGAGGACAGTCGGAGGGAGGAAATTTCAGTGGGGTTATCGGTCAAGCCGACCCACTAATAATTAAGCAGAACAACCAAGATGGAGGTAATGATGGTAATGGGTGAAAGTACAAGGATTTCATGGCATCCAAACCACCATGTCTATCTGGAAGCCCGATGCCAGTGGAAGTGATTAATTGGATCTCCGAAATGGAGACTATGTTTGAAAGTTGCGAGTGCAGCAACAGGCAGAAGACCGCTCTTGCGATCCCTCTGCTAAAATCTGGCATGTTGAGTTGGTGGAAGCTGTTAGTTGACTCTATGCCCAAGGGAGAGGTGACAAAAATGTCGTGGGAAGACTTTGTGGAACAACTGAAACTGCAATACTGCTCCGAGCAGGACCTTCTGGAAATCAATAATGAGTTTCAGTATTTGAAGAAGGGGAAATTGAGCGTTACTGAATACGCTGCTAGTTTCACAGAAAAGATGAAGTTTAGCCCATATTTGGTACCAACAAAACTCTCTAAGGTCAACAAGTTTTCCCTCTGACTACCAGCGGACTATGGTCCAATGGTTAAGCAAGCAACCACATTGAAAGCCACCATCTGGGCTGCTAGAAATATTGAGACCCAAATCAGGGAGAAAGGTCTGGAGAGGTCAAAGGTTGGTGAAAAGAGGAAAATCGATGGACCCTCGGGGTCCAGAAAAAAGGGTAAATTCTCGAAGTCTAGTTCGAGAGGAGGTGGAGGAGGCGAAGCAAAATGGTGCGACAAATGCAAGAAGAAGCATCATGGGAAATGTGGCCGGGAAGCCACATGCTTCAAATGTGGAAAGCCAGGGCATTATGTCAACGAATGCACCCTCACCAAGAAAGTTTGCTATGGGTACGATGAGGAGGGGCACATCTCGAGGGATTGTCCGAAGAAGAAGGAGGAAGCAAAATCCAACATTTCGCCAAAGCCGAATGCAAGAGCATTCCAGATGACACTGGAAGCTGCCAAAGAAGAAGCTGATGTTGCTTCAGGTACCTTTCTCGTAAACAAATTGCCTGCCCAAATTTTAGTTCATTCTGGAGCGAACGACTCCTTTATTCCGCATGAATTTGGTAGAAAACTAGCTTTGCCTGTCGATAGACTAGATAATGCTTTATTAGTCGAAGTTGCTAGAGGCAAGTTTGTACCTGTTAGCCATCGTATGAAAAACATCTTAATTGACTTGAATAGGAATAAGTTCCACGAGGAATTATTGCCCATAGAACTTAATGGTTTCGACATCGTGTTGGGAATGGATTGGCTTAGCGCCAATGACACCGAGATATTGTGCAGAAAGAAGATAGTCAAAGTAAACCCGCCAGGGAAAGAGTCATTTATGGTGTATGGGCACAAACGCAGAGTAAATTTTGGAATCATTTCTCTAATGAATGCCAGAAAATGTTTGGCCAAAGGATGTACATCATATTTGGCATTTGTGATCGATGCTAAGAAGGAGAAAAAGAAGATGCAGAGCATTCCTATCGTGTGTGATTATCCGGAAGTATTTCCCGAAGATCTTCCCAGATTACCGCCTGATAGACAAGTGGAGTTCATAATAGACATGTTACCCGGGACGACGCTAATAGCAAAAGCACCTTACCGACTAGCACTGACGGAGATGAAGGAGCTGATGATGCAACTTCAGGAGTTATTAGACAAAGGTTTCATACGACCTAATTCATCACCTTGGGGAGCTCCGGTGTTATTCGTGAAGAAGAAAGATGGAAGTATGAGAATGTGCATCGATTACTCAGAGCTAAACAAGGAAACAATAAAGAATAAATATCCGTTACCGAGGATTGATGACCTGTTTGATCAACTACAAGGTTCAAGTTATTTCTCAAAGATCGACCTAAGGTCAAGATATCATCAGCTAAAGGCGAAAGAGCAGGATATCGAGAAGACTGCATTTAGAACACGATATGGACACTACGAGTTCTTGGTTATGTCGTTTGGACTAACCAATGCTCTAGAAGCATTCATGGATTTAATGAACAGAGTTTCTAACCCGTTCCTTGATAAATCTGTAATAGTGTTCATAGATGACATTCTGATTTACTCGAAAAGCCAAGAGGAGCATGGCAGACACTTGCGAGAAGTGTTGGAAGTGTTGAAGAAGGAGAAGCTGTATGAAAAGTTATCCAAATGTGATTTTTGGATTCGAGAAGTCCAATTCTTGGGTCACGTGGTCAACCAAGAAGGGATAATGGTTGATCCAGCAAAGATTGAAGCTGTAATGAAGTGGGAACAACCGAAAAGTCCCATGGAGATCCGAAGCTTTTTAGGATTAGCCGAATATTACCGAAGGTGTATCCAAGACTTTTCTTCGATCGCTAGTCCATTAACAGGTTTGACCCACAAAGGAGCTACATATGCTTGGAATGATAAGCATAAAGAAGAATTCGAGAAGCTAAAGAAGAAGCTATGTGAGGCACCGATTCTTTCTCTACCTAATGGAGTTGAAGACTTCGCTGTTTATAGTGATGCGTCTGGGGTTGGATTGGGTTGTGTTTTGACCCAAAGAGATAAGGTGATCGCGTAATCATCTCGACAACTGAAAGAGCATGAAAGGAACTTCCCCACTCATGATTTGGAGTTGGCAGCGATAGTTTTCGTCCTAAAGATATGGAGGCATTACCT